AAAGAGTATTTATTTGATTAGTTTGCACATAAGGTGACAGGACCAGAGGGCTCTGAGGAGAGAGGTTAGGGCCTGACCCAGAGCCTGCTGCAAAAAGAGCCCTTTGTCTGGGGTGCAGAAGAGCCACACTAACCAGGCTCCAAAACAGAACGACAGCCAGATTTTTAGTCCAAGCAGGCCTGGTTTTGTGTGTACTTAAAAACTTTGTTTGGAAATGATTTTAACCCCAAAGCTTGGTGATTAAAAAAGCTTATGAGAAAGCTCTGCTTGTGAGCAGCTGAGCTGCTGCACTGCCTGGCAAAGACCTGGCAGCCTGCTCCGGGGTTTAGAAATCTCCGTGCTCCTTGTTGAAGGGAAGGATTCCTGCCTCACTGCAAACTTCCTCTTCCAGTGCCACTTTCTGCGCCTCATTCTCAACAATGGCCTCTGTCCTCCCGGAGCTGAGCCTGTGACTAAGCACTGATGTCAGGACCCCTGCAGCAGGGGCAGAGCGAGGGCTCGGGGGGCTGGTTTGTCACAAAGAGAAGTGGAGCTGCTGTCCCCCCGGTTTCCCAGTGGGCTGGGTGAGGGAGGGCAAGCAGCACTCTGCGTGGGCCCAACTCGTGCCACTGCTGCCCTGCTCCCTGCTGGCACAGGTCCCTGGAGCTGTGACACAAGGGCTGCCCCAGGCTCACGGGAGGTTCCTCCCAGTACACCCCGTTATCTTTGAAAACTGTTTAATCCTTCTTAGAGCAATGTCCTCAGACACCAAGGAGGGGTCATGCCTCTGGGGCTGGCACTGGGGATGCTGCCAGCCAGAGTCTCTTTGTTGCCCTTCAGTCCCTTGTCTGGTTGCATCATTCTGTGGCTCAGGTCCTCAGCCACAGTACTGGGGAGAGGAGGCCAACCCAGAGCAGGGTGGATGCTCTCTATAAAGCAGATGGCTGCAAAGAAGAGGCAGGAAGGAGCTGGAGGAGGGGGTCACAGTCCTGCCTGCCCCTAGGGCTCTGTACACTACTCTGAGACCCCCAGGTCTTCTACAGACAAGGAACAAATTAATTTATCTTGTATGTATTTTCACTCATTTGAGTATTCACCAATCTCAGAGGATGCACTTGAAGATGGATACTCCCCACAAAACTCTAAGCAGAGTCTGTTCTCCAGCAGAAATCTGAAGGTAGAGTCAGTAACACCAAATCTAAGAGGGCAGCAGGCAGGGTAACATGTTTGCTCTCCTTCTCGCTAAGCCAGCTGAGACTGAGTCATGCCCCAAACAACAGGCTGGTGTGCCAGGAAAAGCTGTCATGGCTAAACCTAACGTGATAGTGACCATTGTAAGCCAGGAACACAGACCACGCCATTTACTGTCAGTTAATTGAGAGCACAGCACGACCAGGCAGCTCCTG